TGGTCGTGTCACACAATTAATTTATGTAAGAAAATTTTAGATTGGCCTCTGACCTGTCAGCTCTACAGGCTGTGCAAGATTCCTTTATGAAGCCAGCCAAAGACTGCTGTTGGTATGAAGAGCTATATGTTGCAAGAAGTCCTTGAAATGTGGTGTACAGTATAAGACAATAATCATTTTTCTCTCTAAGCAAATCAAGCCTCATTGCTGAACTATCACCTCATGCAATCAGATGTGTCATACACTGTTGACTAAACACATACATCTTAAAGTACATGAATCTTAAACACGAGAAGTGACATTAGGCAGCTGTACCAGGTGGGCAAAAAGTGGGTCCAGATGTTGAGCGTCTCATTGGTCAACTGGAAGAGGCTCAGGATGCAGTCAGTGGCTGAGCTGCGGGGGTGTCGGTACCCAGAGATGATGCCGTCCTCATGGAAAACCTCGAAAAAGAAAACACACGGTTAGGCCTGACTCAGTATCACAACTCTGTGAAATTTAATTTTCTCCTGTGTTTCTGGGAGAAGTAGTTTCTCAGATCTATTCTAAACTAAGTTTAACAAAAATCAAACACAGGAGCAATATGTAATCAAAAATCATAAGTACATCCTTCTCAAACAAACAAGAGCTTCGATTGGTCAGTGTCTGTGCTGCACACACAGGTAAACCCGAGTCATCAGTAATGTTTATTTCATGTAGTGGAATACTGAATGCAAGCACAGTTAATAATGTACATTGTTGATATACTTTTGATTTATTTTTCCTTAAACTGTCCGACCCAGCTCTCACTGTCCAGCTCGGTCTGACTGTGTGAAAGCTGAAATGTTCTAAATGTCTGGTACAGATGCAGTGAAGATAAACTTACTTTGGGTACTTGATTGATGGTGAAGACTTGTGGTAATTTGATGAGGTTGAGCATGCCTCCTTCAGGGTGCTGCTGCTGTTGTCTCAGAGGTGAGTCAAAATGAAGCCGCCAGCAAGATGTGCCTCTCTTTATAAAGTTTGTGTTGCCATGCTGTCCTCAGGGTTCCTCCCCTCCGTCTCCTCCCTTGTCAAACCCTGTGGGAACAGTCAAGGTACCTGTTGCCCCTCCTCCTCCTGGTTTCTCTCTGGAGGTGGAGCATAGGTGCACACAGGTGTATACTCACACACACACACACACACACACACACACACACACACACACAACTGCTGTTTGGCCACTATAAGTCAAAGGTTTTTCTGTAAGGAAAAACAGTTTTTCAAAATTAGACCAAAACCTGTGTGACTACTTTTATATTCACTGTCAGTCTTGACATTCATACAAAAGATTCTTGTTTCCATAAGAAAGCTTTTCTTTTTGTAACTGCACTACCCTTCTGTTAAAAGGAGAGTCAAGCCAGTAGAGCAGGTTCAGTAAAATATTTCCCTTCAGTGGCAAAAGAGACTGTTTGACATTCATACTGTGCAAATATTTCTAATATTTTAACCATTTTCCTCTCAGAAACTCACAGTAAGTTCAGCAGATGACAAGCTCAGCGATGAACTCGACAAGCGCTCTCTGAGTTTCAGCCAGTCTAGATAAGGCTCAGGTTATGAATGAAGGGTGTGAATGGGTCAGGCAGAACAGTCAACAGCAGCCCTTTCATGCCACTTTCTTACTCATCTCCTGATTAAAGTAACATGTCACCAGCTGCCCTCAGACCTATGGCAGCTGTTACACCCTGCAGGGTCTCTTATCTTATTTAAACTCTAACGCAATGAAAGCAAACATCTCCCCACCACAGCAGAAAGGAAATGGAAAGTAGGAGATGTTTGTAGTTTGTTTGATAGTTGGCTCATATTACAAAGACAAAAAGAGGTGGCAGATTTTTTATTTTATTTTTTACTTTGCCTACTTTATGAGCTCTTTTGTTTCTAGTTTAGATCTGCATTAATCAGTAACCTCTAGGAAAATGTCATATTTGCTTAAGTTTAAACACAAAAGGAAAGTTAATGCTTTATCTCAAAGGCTTGACAGGCAACACAAATTAAAGCCTAATCCTCAGTATGGAGCTTCTGTTCACAAGGCCAACCAGACTATTTTATACCAAAGCACACACATTTTATCATGATGCTCCTTTAATCTGTCAAAAAAAGTAAACTCACAATTAAAGTGGAATCTCCAAACCATCATCCGTGCATGATTAATACCATGCTCACTAATCGACCTTGTTGTGTTGTGAGCTGCGATCACAACATCTCAGTGCAATGAACTAATACAGTACTACAGCAGAGCACCTTGGGATCCCATTCCGCCTTCTCTCTGAGGAGCAGAGCTGCAGTAAGAGGCACAGCAGCCTGTACCACATGTTTCAAGAAAGAAAACAGGAGATACATGTCTGACTGGAAGTCAGAGAGTTACTACAGTTAACAGTCATCAAGACGTTTAGCGGCAGTCGAGTGCTGAACGTTACGGCCCAAGAGAGCCAGGAGGTAGAAAACCAAGGTCAAGTAACAACAACAGAGTTATTTGTAGAGATATGGTGAAAGAAACACCCATAACCACACTGAGAGGGGAATCACAGGAGCCACTGTTGAGCAGAAAGGAACAGCGAAGTACGTGTTCTGAGTTATAATTATGTTAAAGCTCCTGTTAGGTTTAATATTTTGGTGCCATTTAGACTCAGCACACTTTCTTTAACCTTAACACCAGGGTGAAAAACAGTGTTTCACTGAAAAGTTTTGAGATCCAATCAGAATAACTGACAGGTGCGATTGGACGTGATCACAGCCAAACGAAACACCAGCCGTGGTACCTGAAGCCAGCAGTGATGTCTGTGTACTGACAAAGCTGAACCACTGGAGGTCAGCAGAGACAGGAAACTCCTGGGGGTGTTAAGTTACTCTTTAAAAACCTGAGAATATAACATTATGGAAATAGGTAATATGTACTTACATTTAGTATTGTACAGGAGTAAATGTATTTAGTTATTCACCACTGCCGGTGTGTGTGTGTGTGTTTTGATTTCATTCAGACTGATTTAACAGTTTCAGGGTTATTGCCTGATCAGTCCCACTACACATAACTGGTGCCTATGGAAAACCTGATACCCTACTACATTTACAGGAAGAAGTAATCTACATATACATTAAAATGATCATGTACAGTGACAAAAAGTAGATTTTTTTGTTGATGTTTCAAAGTACAGCACCTCTTCATATTGACCAGTTGATAGCCCATAAAAGCTCAATGTGCTCTTGTCACTCTAATGCAGTGGTGGAAAGTAACTAAGTACATTTACTCAAGTAATGTACTTTACAATTTTGAGGTATCTGTACTTGAGTATTTTCATTTTTTGGTACTTTATATTACAACTGCACTACAGTTTATAGGCAAAATTGTACTTTTTACTCCACTACATTTATAACTTTAGTTATCTAGTTACTTTTTGGAACCAAATTACTACAAAAATTACAGTATTATCATAAGACTATTGATCTCTGGTGGAAAATTCACAAGCTCCCCAGCAGTTCTTCACATTATCCGTGTATAATCTAGTTAAAACTAGCTCCCCCATTTTTTGAAACACAAAAATGCATCAATAATTATAATTCAATATGCTTTACATTAATATTAAATGTCATTCTGCATAATATATACTTTTACTTTTAGTAGCTTTTGTATTTTTTACTTTAACATTTTGAAGGCTTGACTTTTAATCTTAACTGAGTATTTTTACACAATTGTTTTGCTGCTTTTACTTAAAGGATCAGAATACTTTGTCCACCACTGCTCTGTCTATATAAGCCATAAAGAAGATCACAGATTAAAGGCAGACCTGAAGAAAATGCACAGAGAAATGCATATTGTCACTGGAAGGTCTGATATAAAGGATGTGACTCCTGCTGTGGCTTTTACAATGATTAGATCCCAACTGGTCGCTCGTCACAACCTTAATAAGACACCTTGTGTTGGTTTCTCCTGTCATTTGTCACCCATGTGTATAAATGACACTGGCCATGGTATCAGTTCTTTGCTGTGCGCTGATATTGTGCTAGTACGGTCCTGTCTCACCACAAGGTGTCAGTGCTCTCAAACAGCAGCTTGGGTGTGAACAAGTTCTGCACCTGACTGTGAAAATGGATGCAAATATTCTGAAATGTTTCCGGTAATGCAGTTTAATTTTTTAGCCTGAATTACATTTTTTGTTTAAAGGAGCTCAGTATCTTCAGCCTGTAGTCCTTAGATTTATCACTCAGTGACAAATGACATGGCATTTTTGGAAAACATCACAGGGAATGAAAGCGTCACTGCAGAAACAGGAAGGTCTTGCAGCGATGTCTGTGTACTGACAAAGCTGAACCACTGGAGGTCAGTGTCATTAAGAGTCTTTTGACTCTTAATGACAAAGAGTGAAAATTTGACTTCAGGTCAAATCCCACCCCCTTCTCTCTCCCATGCATGCTAAAATGAGCCTCCAGTGGCAAACCCTGAAGGTCCTCCTAGTAGCAGCACAACTTCTAAGTAGCTTCTATCTTTAAGCATACATTGAGTGATTGGTGCCGATAAGACAGAGCTTATTTGTGTTTACTTCAATTGACTGTAAAATGGCCCAAAGCCTTATAACACGACACATGTTGACCTCTTTATTTTAAACTACAACAAATATAGAAAGATTTACATGCATATGGCAGTGATGGAAATCAACTTGTGCTTCACAGGAGTATTTACATCTTATAGTACTTTAAAAAGTATAGCACTCCATCACATCTTGGAGGGAAATATTATACTTGTTATTCCTGTAAAGGTATCTGACAGTTATTGCTTAGCAGATTCGGATTTTACAGACCAAACATGGAACGAGTTCACAAAATCAGATGCACTACTATAGATTTAGCTTCCGAACAGTAAATAAATCATCACTAAATACTACATTAAAACACTTCTTGGGTATTACTGTGCCAGTAATAATAAAAATGGTGGAAGTAGTATTGCATTACAGGTAAAAAATCCTGGCTTGGAAATATCAGCTAAAGTACATAAATATTGAAAACAAACATCAAAACTAAAATTATAATTCAGACAAATTGCTTCAGTAAAATCTTAATCTGGAAAGTAACTAATGCATCTTTCAAATAAAGGCAGTACAGTAAAAAGTGTAATATCTTCCTCTGAAATGTTGTGGGGTAGAAGTCTAAAATGCAAATACTCAAGTAAAGGAGTAGGGTAAATGTACATTGTTACGTTCCAACACTACATACAGTATGTCATCATTAAAAAACTGTGCATACACAAAATTCCACGTGTAAACATCCACTCATTTTATTTCTGCTGACTTTTCCTTGAATTATGTCATCATAATAATGATCTGCTGGCTTTGTGCCATTGTGGTTGCGGGGATTGAGGGACAGATGTGTGTTAGACTTCATGAAATAGGCTGCTGTGCTGCAGCTGCTGAAAACTAGTTGGCGCCTCCCTGGTGTTTTGGTTGAGTCCCCAAAAGAGGAGCATGTGTGGCAGACATCTTCCCGATACATTATTAACAGTTGCTCGAATCTATGTGATCTCTGTTGAATTTTGGACATTCACAACTCTCTCTCCTTCACATAATCTAGAAATTCCCCCAGTAGACTTTTTCTATTTAGGGCTGTTCTACACACACACTGCTGCTTTGTCTCCTCATTGTCCTCTTCCAGCACAGTTGTCATCTTTGACTCTGGTGATGGCACTGTCTAAGGCCAAAGTGTGCCAGCTGCTCATAAAAGTGGCAATTACCAGGTTTGGAAACTGACATGGATGATAAATTTTATTTTAGTGTAATAACCGTCTCACTGTCTCTTTGGTGTTCACAGGCTGCCCAATAAGACATGGAGTTTGAAAATGATTTGGCAAATGACAAAAACTATTTTCTGATTATTTAAAAAAGCTACTTTAGAAAAACAGACTTCACAGGTAGTAGCTCATAAGAGGGCTGAGT